ACGGGGCCGGATCCGGCCGGCCCGCGGGCCGTAGTTTGCCCACGGCTGAACTAGAGTAATACCAACTTCCCTAAAACAAGCATGTTAATATTTGGACAGAAAAATAAAATTGTACCTACTGAAAAACGTAATTTTTTTACTAACCATAATACTGAATCCTTTTATCCTAATCCACTAGTCTCATGAACTTTTTAAATTACAGGGTAAGCGTAATACTTTCTGCCAGGAATTACTTAGAGTTACTTATTAGATATTGATGAAAATACAATGGCCAAATGGAAGCCAACCTTCAAGAATTATAGGAGCCCCAGTTGGTTTGGCTCAGTGGATGGAGCGTCGGCCTGCGGACTGAAGGGGCCCGGGTTTGATTCCAGTCAAGGGCATGTACCTTGGTTGCGGGCACATCCCCAGTAGAAGGTGTGCAGAAGGCAGCTCTGATCGATGTTTCTGTCTCATCGATGTTTCTAACTCTCTATCCTTCTCTCTTCCTCTCTGTAAAAAATCAGTAAAATATATTTAAAAAAAAATTTTTTTTTTAAAGAAAGGTTGCCGGTTCAGTTCCCCACTCAGGGTACAAACCGGGTTTCAGGCTTGCTCCTGAAACCTGGGTTTGTACCAGGGGGCGTGCAGGATGCTGCTGATCAATGCTTCTCTCCCACATAGATGTTTCTCTCTCCTCCCTCTCCCTTCCACTCTATCTCATAATCAATAAAAAATCTTTTTTGAGAAATGATTCAAGCCCTAGCAGGTGTGGCTCGGTGGATAGAGCGCCGGCCTGCGGACTGAAGGGTCCCAGGTTCCATTCCAGTCAAGGCCACATGCCAGGGCTGCAGGCTCAATCCCCAGCAGGGGGCGTGCAGGAGGCAGCCGGTCCATGATTCTCTCCCATCATCTATGTTTCTCTCTCTCTCTCTCTCCCTCTCCCTCCCTTTCGCTCTGGAATCAATAAAAATATTTTTTTAAAAAAAGAAAAATGATTCAAGTTTTTGAGTCCCCGCCCACTTTGCTTCCGATCCTCCCATAACAAACTCAGCTGATGCTTCATGATGGTTTCCTGGGTGTGCTGATGGGAGCAGGGAGGAGTCCGTGCCAGGGACTGTGCACCAGTCATCTGTGGGGGCAGCGACCGTGTGGTCACCGCTATGTTCCCAGCCCAGCACCCGACCTGCCATCCAATAAACGCTCAACAAACTGGTGTGCGAATGGGGGCACAAGAACCACCTGTGCTGAATGGAAAATTTCTGTTGCTCATAGGGTCGGCTTACGTTTCCGCTCCAAACGCCAGGCTACGTGGAGGTGCAAGAACATATATTCGCTTTGCCCACATCCTGTGCATTATCTCCTCCAGGTACAGGAATATTTACACGGAGACAGCCTCAGAGCGAGGCAAAGAACCCTTCTTCACCCACTTTCAGAGCAAAAGCCTCAAAGCCATTTTGGGATGGGGCCGGGAAGGATGGTGTTGGACTTGGGTTAGGGGCGTTGGAGGAGGGGGTTGCAGCTCTGGGTTGGTGAAGGGATGCAATCGGCTTGAACACACAGAAAGAGAATTTCCCCTAAATGTCAGAGGGAGGGCTCTTTTTGGGAACTTAGCAATGAAGGCGAGGAGGGTTCCCCTGGCCTCGGAGGCTGGGAGGGAGCCGGGGTGAGGTCTCTCGTGTGCCAGCGGCCCCAGGAAGACAAAGAAGGTACCAAGCGACTAAAAGCCCGACCAGCTCCTGCTGTGCAGGACCAACTGGTTTTGGGTGGACCCAGGCATGGGACACAATGGGAGGGAGGAAGGAAATGGCTCAGAGATGCTTCATAGAACTTCCGGGGGGGCGGGGGGCATGGGATGGTCCCATCAGCCCTGAGGAATGGAGACCCCTGGGGTGTGTGATGTGTGTGTGTGTGTGTGATGTGTGTGTGTGTGATGTGAGGGTGTGTGTGTGTGTGTGTGAGGGCGCGCGCGTGTGTGAGGGCGCGCGCGTGTGCATACGTGTGTGTGCGTGTGCATGTGCGTGTGTGTGTGATGTGTGTGAGGGTGTGTGTGTGTGTGAGGGTGTGTGTGTGTGCGTGTGCGTGTGATAGGATTGGGGACTGCCCTGTGCTTTCCTCTCCGAGACCCAGGGTCACACATGTTGTCACCAGGACCTGTTCACAGATCCTAACACCACATGCCATGTCATGCTTTACCGAGAATGACCATCATGATCTACACTAGCGGCTCTCAACCTGTGGGTCATGACCCCTTTCGGGGTTGAACAACCCTTTCACAGAGGTCACCTAAGGCCATCCTGCATATCAGATATTTACATGACGATTCACAACAGTAGCAACATGACATGGATGAAGTAGCCACGAAAATAATTTTATGGCTGGGGGGCCCCACAACATGAAGGGCTGTATGAAAGGGTCGCGGGCTCAGGAAGGTTGAGAACCACTGATCTGCACACATACACACGCTTTATCATGGTTTCCTCACAACACGTCTACGAGGTAGGCACTTCTTTGTCTTCGTTTTCCAGGTAGAAACGGAAGCCCAGAGAGGTTTCTGGCTTGCCCAAGGGTCACCCAGCAGAGAACGGCCGAGGAAGCCAGGCTGGGTGGCCGATAGCTTCTCTCAGGGGCTGGCTTCCCGGCCTCTCTCGGGCTCCCAAGTCCTGCACTCCAGGGGGCAGGAGGAGGAGGAAGAGGAGGAGGAGGTGAGAGGAGAGGTGCTGGCTGGTAAGGACGGGTGGCGGAGCTCTGGACAGGGCGAGGGAGGGAAAGTCCGGCGACTGTACAAGGAAGGATGTGAGACGGGGAAGGAGTCGTGGGGTCAGTTGGAGCGGATGGTCTTCTCGATCCAGGAAGTGTATTTGCAGATCTGCGTGTAGACGGCCGGGTGCTGAGCGGAGCCGCAGGGGTAAACGCCCCAGGACAGGACGCCCTGCAGGGTCTCATCGCAGACCAGGGGGCCGCCGGAGTCACTCTGGGGGGAGGAGGGAGGAGCGGTCGGACACAGGCACCAATGTGAGGGCTGCTGCTTGGGGGACTGAGGTCGTGACAGGGGAGAAAGAGACTGGGATAGAGAGGAGGCTGGAATGGGGCTGGAGTTAGGTATAAAGTGGGGTGGCCTTTGACCGTGGGTTATGGATGTTGATCCGTAAATGAGAATGGAGGCGTGACGGAGCTGAGATTCTAGCTCCTGACAGGAAAGGGGATGGAGATGGATCTAGAGCAGCGGTTCTCAACCTGTGGGTCGCGACTCCTTTGGCGGTCCAGCGACCCTTTCACAGGGGACGCCTCAGACCATCCTGCACATCAGATATTTACATGACGATTCATCACAGTAGCAACATGACAGTTATGAAGGAGCACGGAGACTGCAAGAAACCTCACAGGATGGTCAGATCGCAAATTCCTATCGGGGCAGGTCATAGCGAGTGGTCATGCCCCAGGCCTACAGCTCCCTTAACAAAGATAACAGTCTTCACCTTCGTCAAGGCCTGCCCATCCTTCTCATGCATCTACGATAACGTGCCTTTGAAATGCCAGTGTAATCTTCTTTTCCAACCCCCTGGGCGGTACAAGGGCTGGCACCAGACCGGCGGCCAGACAGAGCTCCCCGTGATGGCGGGGCCCCCGTGCCATCTCCGTACCATGTACTGTGAGTGTGAGCGGTGAGCCACCCTGCACCCACCGATGGGAAAGTATGCATCTCCCATGTTGCTCGGCACCCACTTCCGGAGATTTCCCTGCTGTGTGTTCTCCCGCCTCCTTCATCCACCATCACATGGATGCCGGGCCACCCTGCTCACTCCTCCCCTCGATTCTGAACGTGTCTCTGGAGCATTTTCTCAATCCCTGGAGATCTCGCTGCCGGGCAAGTCCTCAAAATTTTGACTCCAATAAACTCATGAAATTTGCATATAGGTTTGGACCAAGTTCTGTTGACAGGGATGAGGCCGAGGTAGGGGTGGGAGAGGGTTGGGCGGGAGGATGCTGTGTGGCTGGGTGGCAGGGGGGTTGGGGACAAGGGTGGACCCTCTGCTCCCCCATCACCTCCCTCTGTCCACTCCCACCGGTCAGAGGCCCTCCCCGGGCAGGCCCTACCTGGCAGGGGTCCTGGCCCTGGTCCAGTCCCGCGCACAGCATGTTGTTGGTGAGGACGCCGGGGTAGAAGGCCTCACACTCCCTGGGTCTCAGGATGCTGACCCTGGAGCAGCTCAGACCCTTGTTGTATTTCACTAATGTGAGGAAACACCAGGTTCTCCCAGGGCCCAGCCCCAAAGCTCCAGGACCCAGGAGTCCAGACACCCAGACTGTTCCCATCCCAGGCCCCAGGCCCCCAGCCCCTCCTCCCTCAGACCCTCAAAAAGCCTATATTTCTTCCAGCCCTGATTTCCCTCCTGTAATCTAGACCCATGTCCTGCTTCTTAAGATACTGGTTCCTTCCTCCCTCAGACCCAGGGGTCCAGGCCCCCAGCCCCTCTTGCCCAAGACACAGGGCCCTCAGCACTTGCCTCTTCGGTGGGCCGTGGTGCCCCAGCCAGCCACCTGGCACTGGTCTCCAGGCTGGGCGCAGCGGTAGGGCAGGCGCAGGGTCTGGATGCGTGACCCGAGCACGGCCGGCCTGGCCAGCTTCAGCAGCATGAGGTCGTGGTCATCCGTGCGTCTCGGCAGGATGGGGCCCGAGCCGTGGTGGTACTTGGGGTGCATGATGAAGCGAGTGGTTCTGCGGAGCTGCTCACCCTGGAGAAGCAGCAGGTGGTCGTCCCCAACGCGGGCCCACAGCTGCCTGGGGAGGGAGGAGCCGTGTGGAGCAAAGCCTTTGTAGAGACTGAAACAGGACTCTGAGTCCCTGGGAGGAGGGTCCAGGCAGTGGGGTGGGATCCTAGATCCTGGATCCTAGAAGGCCTGGACCCCTAGGTCTGAGGGAGGAGGGGCTGGGGGCCTGGACCCCTGGGTCTGAGGGAGGAGGGGCTGGGGGCCTGGACCCCTGTGTCTGAGGGAGGAGGGGCTGGGGGCCTGGACTCCTGGGTCTGAGGGAGGAGGGGTTGGGGGTCTGAACTCTTGGGTCTGAGGGCGGAGGAGTGAGCGGAAGAGAGGAGAGCTGGGGACATGGGAGGGTCCCCCCACTTTTCTGTCTCCCTCAATAGAGACTCATGAGCTGAACCATTTCTTTTAGTGCGAAATTCCTTGACCGCTGTCTGTGGCCCACAACTGTCTACACCGACATGGAACCCACGGGCAATCCAGCGGAGGGAGGTGCTGGATGGGCCCAGAAATGCTGAGAAGAGCCACACTGCCCCCTGGCGGCCACCGCGCAGACCATCGCGGGACGGACCCCACGTGGAGCCGGGAGACCACCCGCCCCTCAAACGCCCCAGGCCTC